GACCATCTCTTCCATGCTTTACTGCCTCTATATATCTTTTTGTTCATCGGGTTAGTGTTCTTTATTTTCCATAAGTGAGTAAGATCATGTGGTATTTTTCTTTCATTGCCTGGCTTATTTTACTTATTTCACTTATTGCCAGTTTCATACATGCTGCTGCAAATGAAAATTGTTTTTTCCCCCCTCAAGATTAAATGTTATATGCTGATCCATATTTACCACATGTAATAAATATAAATGATAAAGTATAAATCATATTTTTAGCATTATTTTGTTATACTTACCATATCTTACTAATACACAAATATTGTATGTAAATTTACTGTACTTCCACAACACCCACAGCCAATCAGGAGTGTGTATGCAAATTAATTCAATGAAGATGGAGGGCCTATGGGAAGTGCACTCAGATGGAGCAGCCAGAGGCAGGGTGGGATGCTGGCATCATTGCCAGGGCAATGAGGTCTGATGATTTGCCCTCTGTATCTGCCTCTCAGGGGTGCGCCTGCACCAGCGGCAATTGCACACAGTTCCAACCACTGAGGAGTGGTCAGACCCCAGGGCCACCGTCTCTACCAAGAACCAGGAGGCTGCTGCCCTGAGGCTCAGGTGAGAGTACAGCTCTGCCTCCTGCTTTTCAGACCCACCAGGACACAGGAGTAGAGCCTGGCTTTCACTGTCGCTCTGGAAGCAGCCCCCTGGGGCAGGTCAGCGGGCTGGAGATCATGCCTGGAGCTCCGCACCTTCTAGTGGGCATGGCTCCTCCTCTCCCCAATCCCTTCCCTTTCTACCAGGGGCCACACTGGGAACTTAACTTTCTTTGTTAAACAAGGGAATTCTGGCCAATGATTGTCCAACCTCTATGAACCCAGTGTGAGGGACCAGGGAGTGACTATGCACAAGCACACACCTTTCTTCCTGCGGAAGATGGACAGCTGCTCAGAGAACTCTGTGGAACAAGAGGGATATGCTGAGCAGTTCCTGGGAGGACCGCCTGAGATAGGGGTATCTTTCTGTCCCAGGTGCTCCCGGCCAACCCCACTGATACCCCCAAGGGCAAACTACAACATGGAAACCGCAACACAGGACCAGACCTGCATTTCCTCACCATCGAGCTCTTTGAGAAACTAAGGAAGAGGCTTCCAACTGCTATCACCCACGGGTCTTTCCATGTTCCATTCACCCAAATCTATGACAGCATGCCTCCATCACTGCGAGCTTAAGGGGCTGTGATGGAAGAAGGCACCATGACTGCTCCGGGGATGCAACAGTGGGGTGACTCAGGGTACAGAGAACTGGCCACATTCCCAGTGCCGGGATCTGGTTACTGTTCCTTCCCCACAGCTATGCACAGCAGCAATGGGCACTACACTGCTGGGCAGCATGGAGCAGATGCATGAAACCCCCCAGTGCAGGAACAAGCCAGTCTCAGGCAGCTGGTCATGAACTGGCCACTGCAGGGATGGCCCTGCTGGCTGTCCCTGCACTCAATTGCCTGCCAAGGTCCTGACCCTATGGCTTGGTTCACTCCTTTTCCTTCCCAGGCCTCTCTAGAGACCCGAACTTGTATATATAAAATCATTGGAAGAAAGAATGATTCAAAAATTTCCAAATTTAGCAAAATTCAGTAAAAATATAAACCTACAGATCAAGGAAGCTCAGTGAATAGCAAGCACAGGACATAAAGAAAGCTACATCAACACACATAAAAATCACATTGCTCAACACCAATGATGAAAAGAAAAATCTTTTAAGTACCTGTCAGAAGAAAAGAGACACACAATACACAGGAATTTTGTAAACATAAGGATTACAAAAGATTTCTCATTAAACATAAGGATTACAAAAGATTTCTCATCAAACAGTTTTGATAGCAGTTGGAAGAATTGTTTTTTAATTTAATAAATCTTTATTGTTCAGATTATTACAATTGTTTCTTCTTTTCCCCCCCATAGTTCCCCTCCACCTGGGTCCCACCCCACCCTCTGCCCTTACCTCCTCCACACTGCTCCTCATCCATAGATGTACGATTTAAAAAATATATATATTTTATTGATTTCTTACAGAGAGGAAGGGAGAGGGACAGAGAGCCAGAAACGTTGATGAGAAAGAAACATCGACCAGCTGCCACTTGCACACCCCCATACTGGGGATGTGCCCGCAACCAAGGTACATGCCTTGGACCGGAATCAAACCTGGGACCTTTCAGTCCGCAGACCACGCTCTACCACTGAGCCAAACCGGTTTCGGCAGATATACAATTTTTGTCCAGTCTCTTCCTATCCCCCGACACAGACACCACTTCCCCCCTGAGAATTATCAATCCATTCCCATTCTATGCCCCTGATTCTATTATATTCACCAGTTTATTCTGTTCCTCAGATTTTTAATTCACTTGACTGTTAGATTAAAAAAAAAAAGATGTTCACTGAATCAGGAGAGTAATGCATGAGAATTTCAGCAAAGGTATAGGAAATATAAAGAGTTCCAAATAGTTACCATAGAGCTAAAGATAATTTTTGAACTGAAAAATTCAGAGGGTTTCAATAGTACACTAGATAAAGCAAAAGAAAGGATCAGTAAACTCAAAGATAGGGCAAGGAAGTCATCCATTCATAGGAGCAATTGTAATAATCTGAATAATAAAGATTTATTTAAAAAATTCTATATTGTTTAAAGTATTACTTACGTCTCCTTTTCCCCCCATTGACCTCTCCCTAGCCACTCACACCCCTTCAGTGAACATCGAGTCTAAACGGGCAGTCGGACATCCCTAGAGAGGTCCCAGATTGGAGGTGTAATCCACTAAGATTAGGGGCTCATTTGCTACTGTCACTACTTGAAAGAGACAACTCTATATTTTTAAGTTATCAAAGGCCTATATTTTAGAAATACCTGAAAAGTAAATCTTTAATAACATTTGGAATCCTAATCATGAGTTCGACTTTTATTCAAGCAATTGAAAATTGTACCATTTGTGATATCTTGTAATAATTACCTGTAAGTGTTATTTATCACCCTCCTAATTAAAAGAGACAAATTAAGACTCATGAAATATGTTATTTGCCCACTCTGGAACTATTAACACTATGAGCCTTTGATTCAGATGGGTCTGTCTCCATGCCCATTCATTTCCCACCACCACCTTGTTACTATTATATACTCAGGTCTTATTCTTCAGAATCCAGCCCCTAACCTCCAAGCACCTAGCATAATATAAATGCTCAAAAAAATTACTGAATTGCAAAGAAAAATTTTAAAAATGACTTGCATGATATAGCATACACTAAAATAGTTAAAATAGAAAAACTTTCAAACTATAAACAAATTAAAAGACAATAATATTAAATATTTGTCATATATCTAAACAAAGATGGAATTTATAAACTTAGAAGCAGCTGAAGAAATCACAGTAATAGACCAATACATTTAAATAGATAAATAAATGAAACTTCTATATATTAAATACCCTTCTCTCTAATGGAACCAAAATTAAACAGTATACTACATGCCTCAAAAGAAGACTGCAGCAAATAAGTTAATACTGTGATTATATAAAGCAGGCAAAGAAGATGAAATTTATATTTACACACTAGAAAATACAAAATCAAATAAAATTAATCCTTGATTTAATTATATAGGAATCTATTCTAAGGAATAATTCAAATATGGTAAAAGCCAAGGGTCAAATGTGGACATCCTTAAAAATAAATAAATAAATAAATAACAAAACAAACAAAAAAACCACAAAAGTAGACATCCTTGTTTTGAGGGAAGCAGAAATCCAATTTAGGTGTCCACAACAGAACAACAAAATCATCTATTGTGCCTTTTCTTTCCTAGGATATTAATAATCTATTTAAAATTGATTTTAAGACTATGCAAAAATCAGTGTAATATTAAATGAAGAAAATAAAATTCAGAATTGTACAAATTAAATTAGAGATATTCTAAAATATAACAGTTTGCCTTTTAGTATTTATTTTCTGAGTTTTCTTAATATGTATAGTTACTATTTTAATAATTAAAATAAAAAATTTACATAACTTTACTAATTTTTAAAATATATTTTTATTAACTTTTTAAATTTTAATGCATGTAAAACACTTAGAAATAGAGCTTCACACAGAGCAAACATTCAAATATTATCAATCACTGCTTAGAATTAAACAATATACTGAAAGGAATTATTCTCTTTTGTTAAGAAACTGACATATATTACTAGAGTCATTAATCAAAATGTATTGAATTAATTTTCCTTACTGATTAACACAAGTTGAGAAAATATTTAAATATATATTTTATTGATTTTTTACAGAGAGAAAGAGAGAGGGATAGTCAGAAACATCGATGAGAGAGAATCATTGATCAACTGCCTCTTGCACACCCCTACTGGGGATGTGCCTGCAACCAAGGTACATGCCCTTGACCAGAATCGAACCCGGGACCTTTCAGTCCACAGGCCGACGCTCTATCCACTGAGCCAAACCGGTTTCGGCAAGTTGAGAAAATATTTAAATTCATAAAAATTTAAATTCATAAAAAGTTCATAGGGACTATTTTCTAAATCCCAATTCTAAAATTGCTCCTAAAATAAATAAGAAAAATATAAAAGTATTACCTTGTTGATATCATCTGCTGCAAATCCACTTTGTTCTAAGAGGGCTCTGATTGCTTCTATACATTTATTAAAAAGTGGAGAACAGAGAAGTTCAAATCTTGCTCTGTTCACACAAAGAAGAGGAAGAAAAAAGGCTTATACAATTAAACAAGACATTTTTTACCTTTTTAAAATAATTTTTATTTCGACGGAAATGTGATTAATTGCAAAATTTATTAAAATCTGTTAAACTGGTTTTATTACCAAGGCTTTCACTAGAATGTCATTTTTTAAAAATATATTTTTAGTGTTCATAGTATTACAGATTATTTACCATCCTCTCCTCCCCTTCTTCTCTCAGCCTCTACACACCCACCCAGGTCTAAACTACCCTATTTGCTGCCTGTGTACAGGACATCTTTTTCTTATGAAGAGTAAAGCCAAAACCTAAGGTGACAGTTCTCTTTAAGAATAGGTTTATGATCAGAACAGGATTATGTAGCACTTAGCAATGCAAAACTATGGGGGGGGGGGGGGGGGAAGAGGTGTACTAAATTATTCATCTACCAATGTATGAAGACATGTTAAGAATCAAATTCAGGTTGGAGATTCTTACCCAATGCCTACTTACAGGTTTTCCATAACCTGAAAATGAAAACTCAACGTATGACAGTCCCAACAGTAAATCTATTGATCCAAATAATTTGGAAGTGTTTATTTTTTTTGCGTTCAAGTTTTAAAAATTATTTTGCATTCTTTTTTTTTATAATCTGAGACTATATTATACCTAAATGTAGCTCTTTGGCATAATCTGAGAAAAATGAATGCTAGCATAGAATTTTAAAAATATATATTTTTATAGATTTCAGAGAGGAAGGGAGAGGGAGAGATAGAAAGATCAATGAGTAAGAATCATCAATTAGTTGCCCCCGCAACACCTTCCACTGCAGATGGAGCTTGAAACTTGGGTATATGCCCTGATGGGAATCTAACTGTGACCAACTGGTTCATAGGTCAATGCTCAACCACTGAGCCACACCAGCCAGGCACTAGCATAGAATTTTAAAAATAATCTACATTCAGGAAAAACGTACTCCCTAATTTTATACTGAACTCTTTAGATACAGACAACTAATTTTTAAATTTATTTGTGCTAACGTACTCCCTAATTTTATACTGAACTCTTTAGATACGGACAACTAATTTTTAAATTTATTTGTGCTATCTCTAGATATTAAAATATTCCTATGCTTGTGATCTTAGTGATAAGGCAAAATTTCTTTAATAAAAAATTAAAAATTCTATTTCATTCTTAATAACTGATATTAATAAGCCAATATATACTTATATACTGAGTACTTGGACAAACTTAGCACAAAGTGAGGAATTCTGGAAATAGAAAAAATAGACACTCTGTCCATCTTTCTATTTTTTGGGCTGTAGCTTCAAATCTCACTTAAAAGATCTAGAGTAGTGCTAATAGAATTTTTTGTGAACATTAGCCACACGCGAGTACAGTAAGACCTCAATATAACTAATTCAGATGAGGGAGTATTTGTTAAAAACCAAAGTCCATTATATAATAAAGTAGGTTTTCTGAATGTGTATGCTAAAAATTGACATATTAGTGTACCTATTTTTACTTTGTAGATATGTTTGTGTAATTAAATTAAGTATGTATGAATACTTTAATTTCAGTTTCCTATATGTATTATAGTAATTTTAAATTTATACTTAATACAATCTAATAAATGCATGCATACAACAGTTACCATGAGTAAACAAATGTTAAGACTGCTATTAAGATTGGCGTGACAACAGAATCAATTACTAAATGGGCAATGCTTGTGATCATGTGCTAATCATTCAATGAGCCCTGTTTATGAGAAGTGACTCCTGGGTTTAAATATGTAATATCGATAGTTGTAGATATGTAATATTTATGTATGTCTGTGAAATTAAGTGTTTTTTCCCAACATACAGCCTAATTGCGAAAATTTAGTAAAAATAACTGAATTAATAACAAAAAGGTAACTTGTTAATTTAATTATAAGCAAATCTTGGTTAAAAGAATTTTAAAATTAACATGGTATTAATTTTCATATATGACATATGGACCCAAAATTTTGTCCATTAAATCCGTAGTCCATTAAATCAAGGTCTGAAAAATTGAGGGTTTATTGTATTGAGCACTGGAATAGTGGCTAGTGTTACTGAGAAATGGAACTTTTAATTATTTGTTTCTAATTAACATATCTAAATGGCAACAGGTAGCTAGTGGCTATTATATTGGACATGCAGAGCCAGAATCTTCAGAAAAGTCCAGGAAGAGTGAGGAAGCTAAACTATAACAGACAGATGAAAAGAGAATTTAACCAAATATACTCAGTACAATACTAAAAATAAAACAATGCTATAATTCTGGAAGTTTTCACTATGTTTCCAGCTCACCTGTTAAGTTTTGGGGATGTTTAAATGGTTTAACTAGTTGTAACTATTACTATTGTTAGTAATATGCAATATAAAATGATAAGGCAACATCCTCTCTTTGGACTTTCAGGGTAAAAGTGCAATCACTGATAAGCAATGATTTGGATTATGTAAAAGACAAGGGTATTAAAAACAATTTTATGCACATTATACCTATGCTTAGTGAAAGTCATAACAACTATTAAAATTTAAAATGATGATGGGTGACAGAGCAATCAAAACCAAAATAAATATCAATCTTTAGCATCCTATATAATAAAGGCTAATATGAAAATAGACCTAACGGTGGAACAACCAAACAACCGGTTGCTATTGACCACCAGGGGGTGCATGCGGAACATGGCGGGTGTTGGAAGGCAGCAGGCAGCGAAGTGCGGAACATGGTGGATGTCAACCACAGCAGGATGGTGGAGCCGGTGAAAGGGGGTGGGTGTGGGTGTGTGTGTGCCAGACCAAGGTGGGGTACTGGTCGCTGTAATTAAGGCGAGCTTTTGGTGGTTACTGAAAATTCTTTGCTCCCATGAGCTGCGGTCCTGTCCAATGCTTGAACCTGCTGCTGGCCCTGATTGTCCCTCAGGGCTTCTCCACTTCCCCTGCCCCTGAGGGACGATTGGAGCTGGCAGCCACCTCTCATACCCATACCCCCTGCCTGCAACGGCTGGCTTGCACCCACTGCTGGTGCCAGAACCACCGCTTGCATCTGCTCTTGCTTGGCGCTGTCAGTGGGTGTTAGTGGCATCTGCTGGCCTTGATTGCCCCTCAGGGCTTTTCCATCTCCTGAGGGGCAACTGGGGCAACAGTCACTGCTTGCACCTGCTGCTGGTGCCAGCAACTGTTCTGCCCTGTCATCTGGTGCGAGTGGGGCCAGCACCTTCAGCATGTGGGAGCAGTGGCTTTGAGAGCAGAGCTGCCAGCAAACAAAGGACCATCCCCGCCCCCTCCTATCCCCTCAAATGCCACAGCAGGAGGGACCAGGTGGGGTGTGGAGGATGGGCCAACACCAAGACCCACCCTTATGCCCAAGGCAGCCTCCCAGCCCACAGTTCCTTTCTGGGTGCTCGAATTCATGCCTTGGGCCCCTAGTAGTGTAATATTTACAGAGTATGAACTTTGGGGTCAAACTGGCTAGGTTTGAAACCCAGGTCCATCAAATAATTGAACCTCTGTGTTTCAGCTTCCTCATATGTAAAATAAGGACATTATCTTTGGGTTGTTGTGAGGATTTGATGAGTTGATACTTAGAATACAGGCTACCACACAGTGTTGATGATTAAGTTATAATAAACAAACTTGAAACATGTGCTAGCCCCACATCAATTTTAAGTGATAAAGTAGGAGTCATATAGGTGGGGCTGCCATTTAATAAACCTGAAAATCTCAAACTTTAAGTCTCCTCTCACTATTCTTTAAAAGATCTGGGATTTTTTCAGACACTGCTATTTGCAAATAACAATCACATCTGACATAATTATTTTGCAAACAGTTACTTATTCTGACAAAAATTGGATCCCATAAGTAAACACAAGAAAGCTCTCCTTTTATAAATGGTGAATTTAAAATGAACAAACAAAAAACCCAAAAGTGAAAAAATTATACCTAAACATGAAAGCACTTGACATTTTAATGAAGGTTTTTTGAATTTCAATTTTACCTGGACACATTGCAGTCAAAATCTTGACCTTCATATAACGAGTCAAGGAAACAATTGGCACTTCCCAAGGTTGACAGAGAATGTTTTGCAATGTCAGCACTGTTCATCAATTTCATCATGGCTCGGGCATTTCCTCTAACGTCATGTTTGAAGGATCTAAGTTAAAAATATAGTTTCTGACGTGAGAATTTATTATAATTAAAATCTGGATAATCTCTATTAAGATAATAAGCAACTCATAAAGCAGTATTAATACCAGATTTTATCATCTGGCTTTCAACCCACCAAAATTTCTGAAGAAAATTCTCTGCAATTAAAAGAAGAATCTCTTAAAGAAGAATCAATAACCAATAAAGTTAATATTCTGAACTTCTGCATTCTGTACCTTTAATAATAGAGTATACTTTAAAGAAAGCAGAGTACCTATTATATTTTATTTTTTGCAGATGAGACAAATGGAGATTATGTAACTAGGTCAAATCTCATATATTACCCTTTGAAATTGATGCATTGTTCAATGGTGTAAAATTATCTGTCCAGCTTTTAAAAAATAAACTAAAAGTGGTTCTTTAAAGAAATTTGAACATACAAAACATGCAGAATTACAGTTCCTCTGGCAGTGAGCAAAGGCCTTGCTTTTATACATGTACATTAATGAGACTTAGGAGTAAAATTAACACTACTCTACCTTGAATTGAAATACTTTATAACAAAAAATGGTATAGATCTTTCTTTGAAAAATGAGAAATTACAACTTTTTCAAGACTTTCTTTTACCCAGTTTAGCTAAACAGATGAACTGTTTCAGCTACATTTTTTTTTTTTAGTGCAGTAATGTCCAAAATATAACTTTTATACTATATGTGGCTCTTGATATGCCAAATAAGAATAGAATTTTGAATGGGATAACTGCATCCAGTAACAAAACTAAAATCTTCTTTGTAATAGATTAGTAATTAAATAAACACTTCATTAATTCCCTGGAATGTGACTATAACAATGTAATCTTCATCAGCTCTAAACTTAAAAACTGTTCAGAAGGTAGCTCACTACCTCAGAGCTGGTAACCCACCCTCCCTTCACCAAGACATAGAGCAGCATATGAAGAATTAAAAAACGGTACTTGAGATCCAAGTCCACATAATTCCACGCCTAGTAATTCCTTAAACTAAGTAAAAAAAATCTAACCAAGTAAACTGCACTGGACAGGTTGGCCTATGCTTCCCTACATTTGTGTGGATAGATATTAACTCCACAAAAATATTCAGTACATTAGAAAAAAAACATATCCTCCTTTGAAGCAGAGCAATTTCAAATAAACTAAAGGAAAATGTCAATCAAAATATATCATGCTGAAGCAGGTTTGGCTCAGTGGAGAGAGCACTGGCCTGTGGACTGAAAGGTGCCAGGTTCGATTCCGGTCAAGGGCATGTCCCTTGGTTGTAGGCACATCTCCAGTAGGGGGTGTGCAAGAGGCAGCTGATCAATGATTCTCTCTCATTGATGTTTCTAACTCTCTATCCCTCTCTCTTCTTCTCTGTAAAAAAATCAATAGAACATATATATATATATATATATATATATATATATATATATATGTACACACACACACACACACACACACACACACACACACACACACCCTGGCTGGTTTGGCTCAATGGTTGGAGCATTGGCCAGCATACTGAAGGCTGGCGCATTCAATTGCCAGTCAGGGGTATGTGCCTCAATTGCAGGTTCCCTGGCCCCAGTAGGGATGTGTGTGGGAGGCAGTCAATCAACATGTTTCTCTCACATTGATATTTCTCTATTTCTCTCTCTCCTCCTTTCACTCTCTCTAAAAATCAATGGAAAAAATGTCCTCAGGTGAGGACTAACAACAATATATATAATCAAATTCATTATTACTCACCTCTGAAACTCAGAAGCTAGATGCTGTGCTAAAGTTTCTGTAAATTGTGTACCTCCGATGTTATCATCAGTGTTTGTTGAAATAACGCGATATATTCCACTGTTAACTTCCATGACACTGATAGATAAGGATGTTCCTCCAAGTTTGAACACTAAAATATTGCTTAAAAAAGAGATAACATGCGTAAGTTATGAGAGAACACAACATTTTAAAGCTAAGTTGGACTTTTTTTTAAAAAAATCAATCTTTATTGTTCATATTATTACAAAGGTTCCTCATTTCTTCCCCCCTCCATCAGGTTCCCACCCTTCCCTCTGCCCTTTCCCCACCCCCCATTGTCCTCATCCTTAGGTGCACAGTTATGTTCAGTCTCTTCCCACATCCACCACTCCCCTTTTCCCTGAGAATTGTCAGTCCACTCTGCTCCAGTATCTCTGATTCTATTATAATCAACAGTTAATATTGTTCATCAGGTTTTTTAATTTCCTTGTGTTTATTTTAATTAATAAACTTTTATATTTTTAAGAATAAATTTCAAAATCTAATAATTTTAAACCTTGTTTTTTCTGCCCTGGGAACTGAGAAGCAACTTGTTTACATGTAAACTTGCCCTTAGGCTATCAAAAGGCATAGCCATTCAAATGTAAATGAACACATTGTTTAAA